TTTTTTTTTTTTTGGTTTTTCTCCGGTACCGGGAACCAAACTCACGACCTTGCACTTGCCAGGCAGGCGCTTTGCCACTGAGCTAAATCCCCAGCCCCCAGATCCTGGCCTTTTTGTCTTTGCTTCTTGGTAATGAGGTGAGCAGATAGCGCCGCCATGCAGTCCATACCAGTCATGCCCCCATAAAAGGCCAGTATTGGGTTAGAACCTGCAGAACTATAAGCTAAGTAAACCTTTTCTCTTATAACTTAATTACTTCATGTATTTCATTACAGAGAAACAAATCTAATATAATCAGCAAAAAAAGCAGAAAATGCCTATGAAGTTGATTTCTGAAAAGTAAATTCGTATATTTACTTGAAATCTCTTTTAGAGTTAGTTAAACAATGTAATAGTTTTCCTTCACGGACCAAAATGTCTAGCCAAGTTCCATGAAAATCATCCAGCCAGAGCCTCCAGTGGTCACATAACCAGGCCACATAAATGTCTGTGAGTAATTAATTAGATTCAGAATTGTAGATTATGCTTACCTATGGCATATGTCTGATCTCAGGCTTGATTCGATAATGCAATCTCTTACCCTATCATCCCTGTGTAGACAAATATAACTCAATTAATTACATGCAGACCAATTTCTAGATTTGGTTTTTTTTTTTTAGATTTGGTTTTGTGTGTGTGTGTTTTGTTTTGTTTTTTGAGACATGGTCTCACTATATAGCTCAGGCTGGCCTTAAACTCACCATGTAGCCCAGACTGGCCTCAAACTCTTGGTGATCCTCTTGCTGCAGGGCCCTGCATGCTGGGATTACAGGTGCCCCACCACGCCTGGCAAGACTGAATGTCTTTTAAGAATAATCAGTTGCTCATATGTATTTTTTTTCTGTTTCTATTGTTTTGTTTTGTGTTTTGAGACAGGGTCTTTGTTGTGGTTGGTGTCTAGATGTCCCCCAGAGCCTCATGGGGACATGGGTGGGGGTATTCAGAGATGGCTGGGTCTAGGCTGGATTAAGGGTGTGATGCTGGGAGCAAGTGTGCCTTACCCTGAGTGTGAGCGGCACCAATCAACAGGCTTATCCACTGGATAGACGATGAAGGGAGAGGGGAAAGGCTGCTTCTCTTGCTGCTGCTGCTGCTTTGCTGTCTCCTGACTGCTTGCCATGGACTATTTCTCCTCTGAGATGCCTCTCTGCCATGCCATCCTGCCAGCTGACTGTGAACTAAAACCTCGACAAACTGTGAGCTACAATGGACCTTTCCTCATTTAACTTTGGATGTTCGGTATTTTGTCTCAGCAATAAAGAAAATAAGACACTCTTGCTATGTAGTCCAGGCTGGCCTTGAACTCTCTGTGTAGCCCAAGCTGGCCTCAAACTTATGATTCTCCTGCCTCAGCCTCCCACGTTCTGGGCTCACAGCCTTGCACTGCCACAGCCAGCTGTTTAACCCCCACCTGTGGGTTTTAGGCTTCCAAGAAAACTGAACGAAAAGCTACCTCTGGAATTCACCAAATCAAAAGTGCTTTCTTTCCCTGGAGTATTAAGCACTAGGTGTTCAGTTTTTAGGGACATGTCATTTATAGGATTACAAAAATTAACGTAAATTCTCTAAAGGCAAGGATCAAATATATTTATCTTCAGTGGAGTCCAATACTGTTAACTGCATCGTTAGTGGCTGGTGTGCTGGAGAGCTGATCAGGGAAGCATGGCGACCCCGTGAAATGACTGGTGTGAGAACCAGTGGCTGGGACTTTCACTTCTGGCTTTGCCTTGAGCTGCTACCATCCTGGCTGAGAAGGAACACTGCAGTCATGACAAGAACGAAAGTGTTCTTCAAGCGAAAACACTCTTTGATGGAGTCAGTGAAACATTTTCTGGAGTCAGTGAAAAGGCATTATGTAATTCAGATAATGTAAGTTATGCTAGGTAATTGGGCTATTCCTATTATCACTATTATTAGTAACAATTTGATAAATCCAGCCAATATTTTGGTACTTTGGGATAGTATACACTAATTGAACATTTAAGTAACTGCGGTAACCAGAAATAAGGATTACAAAAATGGGCTATAATAGTAATATATATATATATATATATGTATATATATATATACACCATATGAAAATGCCTTAAGATAAACTAATCTAAATGATGACAAAACATGATTTAAAAAGCATTATTAGATGATGAAAATACCATGGATATCTGCAACTATGTACTGGGAGGGTTAAAGGTTAGGGCGAGGGTGAGGGTGAGCTAGCTGAATCCTTTTGGGTCTTTTATTAACTAGAGATAACTGGAAATGAGGCCTTTCCTGTTGGCTCACATCTGGAGCGTTAGAAAGCTCTTGGGGTCCTAGTGTGTGTGCCGCAAGAAAATCAACCTTTGAGACTGGTGATTTTCTCATTTGTAAAATGGGATGAATGAACCCTGGCCTCTGGTGTTTGTTGTGCTATTCAAATAAGATTACAGAGGTGAAATCTGCTGGGAATTATAAATTACTATACAAATGTAGCTCTGAGTAACACTTTCCACAGCAGTTATCTAAACAGAATGTATTATTTTCTCTTGATGTCGCTTCTTTTACTTTTGCTAACTCCTCCACTTTTGCTTGCTTCCCCTGACAGCTTTGGGTATTCTCCAAAGTTATTTAAGCCTCAGCCTTCCAGATAGTGCCATGTGCACAGCTTTGCCCTCCTGAGTGCCACCCCACACAGCCACGCACAAGGGCCCGAGCGACGGCGCTCTCCCCTCGTCCTCTGCCTTGCTCAGCTGCACGGCCGGCTCCTCATTGATCACGCTTCTCAGCTCCTGCAGAAGCTGCTTCAGGTCCTTCGTGGGGTCTTCCTTCAGTGCGGTGGTCTTCGCAGAGTGCTGGGTTAAAACAATGTACAGAACAATGAGACTTCTCTTTTCAGATTTGGTGTTTTCTGTTAGAAAATAAATTCACCTGGTAAATAGGAATTATGGAACAGTAAGAAGAAGAAAATAAAAATCACCTGAAATCTTAGCACAGTAGGATGGCCAGTAATAACCAATCAAAAATCAACAGAGAAGCTAGGCATGGCAGCGCACACCTGTGAGCCCAGACGTCTGGGACTGTGAGGCAGGAGGATGGTAAGTTTAAGTGCAGCTGCGGCAATTTAGTAATTTAGCAATTAATTTAATTCTGTGTCAAAAATTAAAAAGGAGTGGGGAGGTAGCTCAGTGCAAAGGCCCTGGGTTCAATCTCTGGTACTACAAAAAAAAAAAAAAAAAATCAACAGAGTACTGCATTTAATTTACAGATCTATGCATGTATATATATGACCAAACTATACACATTAATTTTAAAACTTTTATTTTTTAACTTTTACAATGTAGTGTGAACATTCTTACCATGTTATTAAATATTTTGAACAACGTCTGGAAAGATAATTTTGATACTTTGTTTTGGGCTGAGCTAATTTTATAAGGCAAAAGAACTCTACGGAACTCTTTAGAAATGTGCAAATCTACCCCCACATTTTACTGATGAGAAGACACATCCAATATTTTCCAGTGCTGAAAATCAAACTAGGGCCTCGCACATCCCTAGCAAGCGCTCTGCCACCGAGACACAGAGAATTCAACCTCAATTTTCAGACTGTATTAGCTGGTTTTTGAGACTGACGTAGTGCTGTGCAGGGAATGTTTATGACAGAACGAGACACACACGTGCTCCTGAGAAGCACGTCAAGAGGGAGCCATACAGCCATCAGAAGTGGCCCCGTGTGTCACCGCGCTGCTTGGCTGAGGCGTCCGTCCCACTGTACACTTTCACCTACAATATAGGTTGGTGCTAGAGGATGAGCACTGCAAAACATTTGGGTTTCCCTCAACCCCCTACCCTGAACCACATCCGACACTGAGCTGAGTGCTCACGAGCTGTCCAGCTGAAAGAGCAGTGTATGAAGAGCGGTCTTTTCAGGGTGTCAGCCGCCACCTTACCTGGAAATTGCCATCGTGAGCCTAATGCTTCAGAAATTAGACTATATCACTGTACTGAATTTGACTTCATTCATTTAAGCATAAATATGTGAAGCAGTTTCCTAAACATGAATGAAAACATTCTCTCCTAGCAGATTATCTAACTCTATTGAACACTGGTTTTGTTCTCATCCTAGCCCTAGCCCATACACCTAATATCCAGTGCGGAATAAAACCTCATAAACTTGGTGAATGTTATGGTTTTGATCAAGAATGACCCCTAAACTCTCCTGTGCTCAGAGGTGGGGCTTTTGGAAGGCAATGAGATCACGAGGCTATAGGGCCGACTTGCTGCGGGGAGGGAGGGTCTAGTGGAAGAGGCGGTCACTGGGGCCTGAGCTGGACGGCGTGGCTCCTTTCTTGCCTTCTGGCTTCTCAGCACGCGGCACCCTGGCTGCCACGATGGGAGCAGCTTTTCCTTCGCTGTGGGCCTTTGCGGTGCAGTTTCCACCTGGGAGCCGCTGGCCAGGGACTGTAGCCGGGAGCCAGACTAATCCTGTCCTCCTTAGGTTGTGGGTGCCCAGTGTTATATTCCAGTGAGGAGACAGTGACCAAGACAGTGAGTTATATATTCCAATCTTAAGTCACCTTAGCTCTAACCTGAACTTTGTATCTTCTACCTTCTAGGAAGTTTATTTAATAAACCTTGATAATGTTAAAATGTTTAAGCACTTGATATTTATTAGAAATTACTAGTATAATGATCTATAAACATATAAATATGACCCCCATCTTCATGATACCTAGGTTCTTGAGACTAATTGGTACTTTATAAGACACAAAATATTTTGTGGCTTTTAAATAAAAAACAATAATTAATAAAAAATTAATAAAAATAATTAATAAAAATAATAATAAGTAATTTTATTTTTGCAGTGCTGGGGCCAAATGCAAGTTTCTTGTGCTGGGTGAGTGCTCTAGCACTGAGCTACACAGGGTCCTACCAGCCCCAGGACACAGGGTTTTAAAATCTATCCAATTCTACCATTCACTTAATAATTAAGCATAATAAGTCCTACAACATTCTTTCATTGACCTCATCCTAATCCTTGTCTTTGAACTTCTCAAATGCACGTTGCTCTTCTAAAATACAATGTAACCAGAGGGATAAAGACTTGGTCTAATCATCATGGTCTCTAAATATTCTATTACAGATAACCCACACTTTGCTGGAGTATAAAAATCACAAAAATGTCAAGGCTGGAGGGGGCTGAAGATCTAGGTGCAGTCCAATTCCCAATCAGAAGTAATGATAGAATTTCTCCACAGTGAGTCAGCAATGTATATATCTAGCCTCTGCTTGGTCATCAGACCAAGGAAGGCAGATAAATATCATCACGGTTTAGATCTAAAATGTCCCCCCAAAGTCTCATGCATTCAGAGGCATTTGGAAGGTGACTGGATAAAAGGATACTACACCCACGGTGGGTTTATCCACTGAAGAGTTCACGTGGGCCTGGGTGCGGCTAAGTGGTCCCTGGGGCTGAGACCGGGCAGTGCACTCATGTCCCTGGCTCCTCCCTTGCTTCTCTGCTTCCTGGCTGCCCTGGGGTGAGCTGCTTTCCTCCACTATGCCCTCACAAAGTGGCCCCTCCAGGGGCTTCCTTTCAAGATGACCCTTGCTCCAGGGCTCAGATTTGGTGCCTGAGAAGCATGTGCCTTACTTTTGCCCTCCTGTGGGGAAAGTGTCACATGCCACCAAAGTAATCTTTTTTACTTTGCCAGCTACTGATCTTAGATTCTTTCAAGAAGAGTCATGAATCAGACACTGCAGGACACGTGCTAAGCTCTGACCCCGAGTCCTGGACTCCTGTTCCCGGGAGCAGGGAGCAGAGCATGCTGGCGCGTCCCTCCCATCCTCCTTCCCATGGGCCTCTTCACTTACAAGCTTCCAGCTGCAAAGCAGTCTGAGGAGCTTTTAGCTTTAGGATGTCTGTGTCTTACTCCCGACCTGGGGACCCGAGGTGTGTATGTGTATATTGCTCGGTCACCCGAGTTTTACTCAGGTGACATAGCATGAGCATTTCCCCAATAAACATTAGTTTAAAACATACATGTTAATATCTGCATTAGCATTTCTAATTTTTGATCAATGCTATGTCCACAAACATGATAAGCTAAATGAAATAGAACAGGTTTCTGAAAAATAATCAAAACTCAACAAGAAGAAACAAACAATTAAAGCCAGGCATGGCAGTGCACTCCTGTAAACCCAGAACTCCGAGAGGTTGAGGTAAAAAGATAACAAGGTTTGAGCTTAGCCTGGGCAATTGAGTGCCGATCCTGTCTCAAAATTTAAAACAATTTTAAAAAGCTTTGTATGTGATTCAGTGCAAAGGCCATGAGTTCGATCCATAATACTCTGTGTGTGTGTTCGGGGGGTATGAATTCAAATAGTCATATATCTGTTAAAGAAATTGAATCAATAACTTTCGAAAACTAAGAAGCAGATCCAAGTGGAGTCACTGATCAATTCTACAAAATGTTTAAGGAAGAAATTATACCAATCCTGTACAATCTCTTTCAGTAAACAAATGTAAAGACAGTATTTCCTAACTCATTGTGAGTCTAACATTACACAAATACCAGAACCAAAGACACTGTAAGAAAAGACTACTGATCAGTATCTCTCAGAAGCGAAGATGGAAAATTTCTCAACAAAATATTAGCAAATATTTTTACCCAACAGACTACAGGAGCTTCATTTCATTTTCCCCAAAAGACATTCCAGGGTTGCCTGCTTACAACTGAGAGTTGAGCATCTATCTTGCCTTTATTCATCTTTTAATTTTTAATTTTTATTAGTACATGTTTGTGGTGCATAATGATTACATTTGTTGTGGGGAGTTGGTACATAACATGTCTCAGTTCTTTTTTTCCCTTTTCCCTCCACCCTTCCCCGCTTTTCTCTGCTAGCATCAGATTCATTTATTTATCTGACAAGTCCTTATAAAGTTTACAGCCAGACTAACGGCCAAAGATGTATAAGGCAATTATACTAAATCAAGGTACACTTTTAGATATATTGTCCATGCTGGATTGCAATAACTTTTCTTTTCACTCTATCTTTTCTCCTGTTGTTTACCTTTTTTTCACATTTTATTTATGTATTGAGTTTCTCATATATAAGAGAAACTATACAATATTTGCTGATTTACTTCACTTAATATTATGGTTTCAAAGTGCACTCATTTTCCTACAAAAGACTTAAGTTTATCCTTCCTTATGGCAGAGTAGTACTCCATTGTGTATAAATACCACATTTTCTTATCCACTCATTTGTTAATGGAATATCAGCAAGTTGAATGCAATACTGTATTAAAATTACGTGTTATCAACAAAATGGAATTTACCCCATATATGTGAGATTGGTTCAGTATTAAAAAATAAATGACCATAATCCATCATATTAATACAGGAAAAAGGAAAAATCACTTGATCATATCAATAGGTGCAGAATAAAGCATTTGGTCAAATCAAATAGCCATTTATGATAAAAGTTGCCATCAAACTAGGGACGGATAAAGAACTGCCTCAACTTGATAAAGAACATGCACAAAAGCTTATAGTTAATGTGATACTTAACCGTGAAAAACTAGATGCTTCCCACTGAGATAACGAGGCAATAATGTCCCACTGCCACTTCCATTCAGCACCTCACTAGAAGTCCCAGCTAGTACTACACACACACACACACACACACACACACACACACAAATAAAAAGGAAATAAAAGACATATACAATCACAGAAGAAGAAATACAATGTATCTTTGTTCACCAATGACATAACTGTTTATGTAGAAAATACAGAAGAATTTATGACAATAAGAAACCTCCTGAAATGGATAGGAGATAATAAAGTGG